GTACATTTCAGTACCCATTACAGATACTAAGCATCAGTAATGGGTACTGAAACTCTTGAACCACTCTAGCTCTTTTTGCGTTTATTTTGATATCTAAGAATCGTAACAAGCTGTGTAAAATATATTTATTCATTATCTACTCATGAGCTGACTATTGGTTGAGCAGTTAGTTGTTCCGTCATAAATATTTTGATAAACTATCTGCAGTGCTAAATGACTATCTAAAAGGTCTCAGACACGTGCAAAACCACTGGAGAACATGCGAATCTCAAATCAACATTGTTTGAAGCAATCAGAGCTATGACCATGTTATCAAAATTTTGCAAAACCTGAATGACATCGGCCGCTTGTATTCAATTTTTCAGCAGCTCAAAGGGACCTCTAAAGTAAAGAAAAAAATAAGGCAAAAAAGAAAAAAAAGTAAAAGAAAATTTTTAAATAATTTTGTGCGTGACACGAAAATATTTAATCACATTAAAAAAGAGATTCTTTTCTAATTAATAATGAAAGCTCGTCAGGTTATGAAACAGAGAAAACAGAGTTCTAAAAATGTCATCACCTTAACTCTCATGCCATGTACAATATACTTTTTTCTCAGATTATATTGGTTAGGATTATTGTGAGATTCGTTGTACATACTAATTTAAAACTACCCCCGAAGTTTCAGACCAATTGGAGTAAATAAAGTTTTGGGAAATAATTTTAAAGTTTTTAAGTATATTCTTTTTTTAATGAGATATATATCTTGTCGTGATAAGAAATCACTGAAACCAAAATATTAATTATCTAACGGCTCACAGAAAGGTTAAAAGTAAGTTATGTTACGTGATTCACTGTGCACCAGTACTGGGGCACAGTAAATAAATAAACACAGCCGCGAATTAATGATAGTCGATAGGGCATGGCCAAATAACTATGCGACTGTGGGAGAAAAGACACTGTTCACTATACCTTTGGCATACTTTTATTAACTAGATTAGTATAAATCAAAGTATATTGCATTTTGAAAGAAAAAAAAAATTATTGATAACAAAACTGATAAATATATTAAAAATTATATACCTAATCAAATATTATTATTTATAACTTGAAATTAATAATCATAATAATTCAACGTACCCCACCATGACAACTTAAGTATCATCTCTTCAGACGTGAGTGTTGTTAAAAGAAAAACTAAACTACTAAAATGAAGCATAAGTATCTTTAATCCGAATAAAAACTTTAACTAATAAAATTACATCAATATCTTGATATAATTTTAATAGTTAAAGTTAATGATCCCCATAAAAGGCATAAAGAAGGTGAAAAATATACTATTGTTAGCTTAAAAAAAATTTATGTAGCAAAAACCAGTAGTCAAAAATTAAGTGAAAACAACTATGAAAAAAGATTGCTGATATATGTTGGACATAAAATAATTACATTATTAATATAAACAAAATTCTGATCTTTGAAAAAAAGCCTCTTATTCACTGTGCCCCTCAATCCACTGTAGCCCAACTTTCCCTATTCGTAAAGTTTAAGTAAATCTGTTCTAAGATTAAATAAAATATCAGAGTTTACGGAGGAATCAATATCTAAATAAAATGAAACAAATTCAACTATTGGAAAAACATGTAAATCATCTGCAGAAGCTTTTTGACCATAAAGGCTCATATATTTCTGTGGATCGTTTTTTTTACCATCTACTTCAGTTATGATATGACAAAGTGGTTACTCATTTTGATGAAGTATCTATCCTATTAAATGGATTCGTTGGTTTAAAACCCTTTTTAATGTCTTAACTAAACCATTATGCGCAATAGACAAAAATTTGATTATCATAGTTTTGATGTTAAAATACAGATATCTAATTTTTTGTAAAAAAAAATATATTAGCTAAAAATCCATTCCAATGTTATTTTTGAAAAAAATACATAGGAACATTTTTGACTACACTTGAAAATACCGCTGCCCCGGAGTATCTAGCGTTTTTCTTTGTAACAACTTAGTTTAACTGCATAAAATCAAAACCAAATACAGTGTTTATTTTCGAGTTCTATTTGGTCTCAAAATTATTTATAATAATTGCTAATATTCAAATCAAACTGTTTTTGTTTTTTATTGATTACGTTTTAATTTTTTGTCTAAAAATAATGCTTTTATAAACTATGGCAAACGCTATGCTAAGAATTTATAAAAATGCCTAAAAAGTACTTATTAAAAACAGAATTGCTAAAATAATTTATTGCATGATAAGTCAGGTGTCCTGGTTTAAACTTAAATTGTTTACTTTATAAGACACACTTTTTATCTAAAAACAAGCGTTTTTATTCTAAAAACCAATCTTTTGCACATAATATCCCTTTTAGACATAACGTCCTTTTAAGAAAAATAAAATTGATTTATAAATAGAAATACTGTTTTTGTCTCCAGAAACAACAAGTAAAATTAAAGAAGAATTTTTAAAACCCAATGTTTTTATATGTTATTAAAACACAAATTTTGCAATCCATATTTTCTAATTTTGGTAGTTTATTTTATTAATTCGGCTGTATGCGTGCGTTAAAAAACAAAAAAGTTCAGGAAGATGCGGCTCTCAAACCACAGGCATTCCATTTACGAAGTCAACACTTTATCCAATTAAGCTACGCGTATAGAATTGGAAACAATTAGTTTACTAATTTTAAAAATTATTATTCTTTTTTCCATATAAAATAAAACGTAACTAAAATTAAGTTAACTTAATTAAAACTAAATCAATTGACTTGTTGCAAAACTATCATAAGGAATTGTTTGCAAGATTTGATGTTCACAGAAAAACAAATAAAAAAACAGCCAGACAAGGCAAGTTACTAAAAGCATTGGTAAAAACAAGTTTTATTCATGCAATCTTATATTTTTCTGAAAAAATTTTTTTAAATGGAAAATTATTATATGCATGAGTGTTTTATTTATTTATGCACAGGTTTAATTAAGAAAGACTTATTATGATCATAGTAGCTGAGATGCTCCGAAAGACTTATTATGATCATAGTAGCTGAGGTGCTTTGAAAGACTTATTATGATCATAGTAGCTGAGATGTTTCAAAAGACTTATTATGGTCATAGTAGCTGAGATACTTTGAAAGACTTATTATGATCATAGTAGCTGAGATATTTCAAAAGACTTATTATGACCTTAGTAGCTGAGATGCTTCGAAAGACTTTGTAAAAATTCTACAACGATAAAACTAAGAGATCTTATAAACTTAGTATCTCATATAATATCAATGTTTGTTTAGAATCATCGCTTTTAAACAAGAAATTAGGTACTTAAGCTGTTTCACAAAAAAACAAAAAGTCAGCTAATCCATATATTTCTGAAATAGCTGGTAGTTATACTTCAAGGTTGTTTACAGTATTACTAACATTATAAAAATAAACACATAATAAAAATGATTTATATAAAAATGGTTATACTAATAAAAATAGTATTTACAACAAAAAACAAAAGAACCACAACATAAAAAAAAACATTAATGCTAATAACAATAGTAACTATAATAGTATTAAAAATACTATTTTGTGATTTGCTTACAATAACTTACAATTTGCTTACAATAACTTTAAATACAATGCTAGACAGTTATAAACAGTTAAAAAACCATTAAAACGCAACAAATAACAATGACATCAAAAAATTATTTATATAAAAAACAAAAAAACTGGAAAAAAATAATAAAATTAAAAATAATATTCCCAAGTACAGCAATAATTGTAACAGAAATAATAATAACAAAAAAACTTAAAAATGAAAAAAAAAAAAAAAATTGCTAAATACATACACAAACGTACACATATACATGCACATATACAGAAATATGCATATGCGCATAGATACACTCGCAAAGAATTGTATATATATATACATTTAGATATACAGCTTTAAAAAAATACACAACTATTGACATTAAAATCAACATCAACATTTAACAAACTAAAAGATAAAAAAATGTAAAAAAAAAAAAAATTACTGACGATAACTACATTGCACAAAAAAATAACAATATAATCAATACAGGGAAATGCCAATGAAAAGAATACACAAAATAAAATAAGAATACACAAGAGCCTCAAAAAAAATAAAAATACAACAAAAAACAATGCAAACAGCGCATAAAAAGTGAGTTTTAAATTCATTGCCCATATGATAGCCACATCAAATTTAGCACGTATTTATTTAAGGATTATGCTACACTTGTGGAACACATAATGTGAACCTCATTATGTGTTCCACAAGTGGGCCACACTTATCTTCATCAAATACGTCATTCATCAACTGTAATATTTTTTGCACTTTTCTGTACAAAAGCATTATGACCACTTGTAAACCGCATATACCTTTCTTGTCGGGTTTTGTATATATTTTGCATATCTTTTGAAGTAAATATATAAAGAAATATAGAAAGTTTTTTAGAGGAATCTCAGTTTTCTCATACTTTTCTTTATAATTTTTTTTTTTAATTTTAAGGTCGTTTTACTTCGCCTTTAATGAAACTCTTACCTTTATTTTTAGTATAAATATATTTTAAAATTATTTTATGAAGAAAATAATATGTTTTCTTCATAAAATAAATGTATAAAACTTTTTTAAAGTTTAGATAATTTTTTATCTTGATTAGATTAATTAGAAAAAATTGGTGCACATGCAATAGTTCAGCATTTTGTATATTTGAATCAAACGTTTAGAACAACAAAACCCCAACAAAAGACAGAAAGCACAAAATTTCAATTTGAAAAAAAAAAACGTTGGCAACGAACAAGAATATATAATTTTATTTCACCGAATTGAATTTTATAAATTCTAAACAATAGAAAATCTCTGTTAGCAACAAATGACGAATAACCAATAAATTTAGTTAAAACAATCTTGATGCACCAAAATAAATTTCGCAACTTCATAAAATTAATATTGTATTAATACAATTTTTTGTTTTTTTAATACTTTATCAAAAAATACAAAAAGATTTACCTACCATATTTAAACTAATCTTTGGGTGGATCTTTTAAGCCATCATATTTGCTAAATTCAAGCATTAAAGTGACTGTATAGTTTCCTTCTAAGCTTAGCCAAAAATCTTGATAATAAAGACCATTGTTGCTATCAATTAACGGTACATGAAATGATGTTGGACCTATAACTCTCATCCACCAAAAGTCGCCACCAATAGTTTTAGAATTGTTGCAAGAGTCAAACGATTGAATAACAATGTAACTTTTTCTTCCAGGTGCGTTTACTGTAATGTTGAGTATACATTTATTAAAATCAGTGTCTATTTTAGGGCAAAAGAATTTTGAGTTATAATCCTTTATTTTATGTTTTAAAATGTTTAAAACTTTATAACTTAAAGTTATATTATTTATTACTAAGTAATAAATGCAGCACAAAAAAAATATATATTTTAGTAGAAAACATGTTTTAGTTGACATCACGGACATAGTGGTGGCGCGTTTTTGCTTTTGTTTACTTGTTTCAAGTTTTTATTTTACTAACTTGATAAACCTAAATGAGAAAAAAATAATTTTATCAACATTTATTTACAGTAAGAGTTAATATTTTTTAAAGCAATATTTATTACATAAGTTACTTGTAAAGTCAGAGCTAATTCCCAGATGACAATCCTATTTTGGTCCCACGTTGGACCAGTGTATGAAGATACATTAGTCCAACTTTGAAATTTGAGGTTGGCCCAATCCAGGTTTGATCATTGTTTAGGCATTGATTTAACGTTATATACAACATAGGCCCAATCAACACTACGTTAATCCAACAATGACCTAAAGTTGTATAGAACATTGGCCTATTGTAGTATGTAACACTTGCCAATATTGCATACAACGTTAAGCAAATGTTATTACAAATAAGTTTTATACTTCGTCGGCTAGGGATGCAATTGTCGTATCGCAAATTTATTAAAGTTAAATATAAATATGTAACTATCTAATATATGTAAACTTAACATCATATTAATGAAAACTTTTTTTTTTTAACGTTATTATAAGTAATTTATTTTAAATAATTTTTTACATTTACATAACTTTAAATTTACATAAATTGCGTTATTACATATTTATATATAGTTTCAATAAATTTGCGATACGACAATTGCATCCCGAGCCGACGACTTAACTCGATAACAAATTTTGTTTTTCGGCATAACGTTTTATTCAAAATTAAATCGTTGTTACCATTAAATAATTTGCATCGTTACATTGAAATTTACATAGAAACATAAACAAAAATGAATGAATATAAAATCTAACTTTCAAAAATGAATGATACAAGTACAAAAATTTATTTAATTTACATAATTTATCCATTAAATATTCATACTAGAAACTCCAAACGTAAATCGAAAACTACGACTATCATTACTTCTTTTACCATATCAATCACATACCTGCCTGAGCCGTGCTCATTTGCGTTTACAGTTTCTGCAAATAAATTATTGTTTGCTTAACTATGCGCCAAAGAAATATTACAAATTGAAAATATTTGTGTAATGCAAAACTGAAACTGAAAATATAAATTTTCTAAACAACTTACCAATAGCAAAATAAGCAATCAACATTTTTCCTATTCCGTTTTTTGTCCTCTCTCTACATTTTTTTTTTATTTTTTTATTTTTTTATTTTTAAGCTAGGATATTTTTAAAAACTATTCTTAGTAAATAAAATATAGAATATCCTTTAACTCTTAATTTTCCTAAATAAATAACTTGCAAAAATACACAAATTGACAATAATTAAAGCTACTTTTGGTTAAACTTAAATTAATATAAAATCTAACTTTCAAAAAATCTTCGAGAAGTATTTTGTTCAAAGAAAATAATTTGTATAAAGATCTCAATTTATGTATTTTGTCTTTTAATTTTTATTCTAGAGTACTTATATTTTCTATTGCTTTTAGTGACAATAACAAACTCTCAGGAAAATCATTAATTGGCACAAACAATGATAAAGTTAAATATATATATATATATATATATATATATATATATATATATATATATATATATATATATATATATATATATATATATATATATATATATATATATATATATATATATATATATATATATATATATATATATATATATATTAAGGGGTCCCAAAAAAAAATTAGCACGGATAACTATCTGGTTATTTATGACAAAATAAGTAATTTTACCAGGTATAAAAACTGAAAAACACCGAATATTATTGTTTTTTATAGTTTTTTGTGTAAAGTAAACATTTCTTCAAGTTTACGTTATACATAGCAATGTTTTCAAATATAAAAAGTGTTGTTAGAAGATTACGATGTATTGTAGAGAAGAGAAGATCGTCGTCTTTACTAATTGTTTGAATATTTTCACAGAAAGTTGCGGCAAAAGCGCTTTGGTACAAATATATTATTTTAACGATAACAAGTGTACAAAGCATATTGTGTGAAACATATGAAAATCTTGAACTGTAAATCATAACCTAAATTATTGTAGTTAATAATATGCAATAACATATCCTAAATGTAATTTTTATTTATTTTTGAGAGGAAAAAAAATGAGGGGACGGGGAAAAGGAAAAAAAAAAAAGGAATTTTGATGTAGAAGGGCTGAAACGTGTATATAATGTAGTAGTGGACCCAAGGAGACCTCTGTATCTTTTAGACAGGCCCATAAAAAAGCTTCCCAAGTCACAATTACTCACAAACGGAGATAAACTTAGAATATACTGTAATATTATATCCTCAAAGCAGCTGAGGTTTAAATCAACTAGGTCTAATATTTGTTACCCTCTGCAGACGAGTTCCAACCAGCTTACATATCAATTTCCTGGTACAGGCTGTATGGTACAACTGGAGAGTGACTTGTCAAAGAAGTAGTGCATGTCTGGGGCAGAGCTGGTTTTCACGATGACTTTCTTAATGAGAGGACAAGGAATAAGGGACAAGATTGAAAGACTTAACAAGAAATGGAGAAAGCAGATCGACTATTAAAAGTAAGAAGTAATTCACTTCCTATAAGCATCATTTAAACTATTTTAAATACATATTTTACATTTTTAGGTTTAAATATTTACCATTGGTTTTACACATTAAAACAAACTTTAGCATCCTTAAAGAAGGTTGGGGGAAACAACGTCCAAAAAAGGAACGAAAAATACTCATTGTTATTCCATTATTGATTCAGGAACTTAGGAAGGTTCACCCAATAACAGATTGGTGTTAAAATATGTAAATGTTAAAAGAAAATTACATATTACAGTATTAAAAAAAGTTTTTCCCTTCTTAATTTTTTCAATTTTCAGGTTATCATTCAGTGCTATTCAAAATTTAAATGATAATTGGTGTTAGGGGTCACATAATCTTATTATCTTCCATTCTAAGGCATGCTGGGTAATACATAGAAGATATTGTTTTTTTATAATCTGGAACCATAGGAAAAGATTTGAGACAATTAAGAACAAGGAAGATGAAATTAGATCTGGCTACGAGGATGTTTTAATTGGTAAAAAACTTGTATTCCACTTTGACAGCAAATTGTGCAAAGAAATTCTTTATAAAAATAATATTACTGTAAAAAAGAAAAGGATTGTAGTAAGTGTAATAGTTCCTGAAGATGATAATAGTAATGACATCTTAAGAGGGGTTTTTAAAGCCAATTTTTTTAAAGGAAAAGACCAGAAAAAAGAAATAAAGAATACATTGGAATATTTTGAAATAGTGGAAAATGTACATTGGTGCTCATAATGGGGCAATTCAACTAATCAGTAAACATGTTGTTAGAAAGCATATTATGTGGCTTTTATGCCGCAGGCACATATATGAGAGACATATTAGTCATTTGGTGCAATAATTGACTGGAAAGACTAAAGCACCAAAAAAAGACTTTTATGCAAGGTTTAAAAAATAATTGGTCAGGCAATTTTAAAGTGTGCAATGAGGATATTAACTCTTTAAACAGAATTGATTGGGGCATTTTTCAAGTTGGCTCGTTCATGCATCAGACTGCACAAGAGGCCAAAAATTTCTTTGGAAATGCAATCATCAAGAATACCTTTTTTAAGGACATAACAGACTACAAAAAATTGTGTGAGTTAGGTTCATTTTACTTAGGTAATGTTTCAGACTTCTCACGGCACCAGTCCCCTGCTTGCTATGAAGCTAGGTTTATGGTAGATGGGATATATTTACTGATGCTTGAGCTCACCATCAAAACACTTACGTTGATGCCAAAGGAGGAAAGAGAAGAAGTTAATAAAGAAGCGGCTTATGTTGCTATATTTATATCCCTTGGTTTCTTAAGATATCAATCATATCACAGGCACCTTCTAATGATCTTACAGCTATTAAAGTTGCTAAAAGCGTAGAAGAAATTTTAGGTAGAAGTTTTAAGAATTCTCTTCTCAGACATACATGGTATTTTGTAGAAAATGTTGTTATTGTGTCACTTGCTGATTCAAATGTAGATGAAGAGGAAAAAGCATTAATGATCCTGGAACTTTTAAAATACCGCTATCCAGAGTGTATTTCTTACTTTGTTAATAAAAAACCAGATATCAGAAATGACATTATCATTGACAAGTTGGTTGTGAAAAACAACTGGTACCTGATTTTTATCCTAAATCTCAGCTAAGAAGATGCAGAGTCTTGGGTTTCTGATGGCACATTTGTGGCTTTTCAGCCACGTTTCTAGTTTTTCAAGAAATTTATATCAAATATGCAATGTATAAACGATATCGCAGAGAGAAATATCCGTCTAGTTTAACAGTTCTTGGCACATAGTCACATTGAAAGTCAGAGATAACACATTATGCTGGTGACTAAGAACAACAGGAAGTTGGTTAATAAGCGAATCCTGAAAAAAGATTTAAACAACTTGTGAGCTCTAAGAAATATACTATTTTTTGTTTGTTAACTTATTTCAATCTTTTCCAGATTTATTGAAAAAGGGTTGAAAATTGGATATTTATTTAAAAATGAAAACCTACACCTAGGACTTCTCGTACGATTAGAGATTTCAAATTTGGTGGTTATATTTCACTCAAAGTAAATTAATACTTCCTTTGACAGCTCTTTATCGTTTCTACTCAGATTTTCATGCATGGCGGCAATCATCAGTCATGTATATTTTTTTAAATCAAGAAATTAAAAAACCGATTAAAATACAAAATAAGCAATGCAATGGGATCTGACGTCAAAACATCGACTACACGAAGTCTACCTTTAGCCTGTGTCAAATTGACAAAGAAGGAATTTATTTCTATGCCGACATTTTGATATAATTTCAGTCATTTTATTTAATAAACTATTGTCACTATTTGAAATAATTTCATACTTTTCATTAAGGCATAATTTGCACGATTATGTTGTCAGGTTATATGCTTCACATCTTCTAATTATTTTCCAATTGATCACAGGATTTTTATCATTATCTTTTAAGCTCCAAACTTCCTTTGACAGCTCTTTATCGTTTCTATACTTAGGGATATTAAACGATTTCAAATGGTTAGCATATCTTAGTTTGAAAGATGTTTCACAAATATTAATGTATGATTTTTTTATTGAAGGGGTTAACCGAAGTGATGGTTGCTTGGTATACAATGTTGTTGGTTAAGCAGTTATTGTTTAAAGGACAATAGTTTTCATTAAGGCAGTTGCAGTTATCTTTATTAATGGTTAGATTTTTGTTTAGGATGCGCTTGTTGTGTAAATTTATTATTGATTTTATGTTTGGCGTGCAACTGTAGCTGATTTTTACTGTGTTTTTGTTAAAAATTTTATGTAGTCTGTTGTTAATTGGAAAATGTTTGACAATCAAGTTTAAAAAGCTTTTTCCTATATTTGTGGTGACATTTATGTTATAGGGTGGGTTGTACCAGATTATTTTACGCGTACGGTTTTTCTTTTATTGCTGTTTCAAGTTAGGTCGGTGAGACAAATTATGTTTATAACCAGAGTTTCGTTATAAATGGGTAAAGATTTTTTAAACACCTCTTTGCTGCTAGAATTTCTGGACAATCTGAGTTCAACTAGTGAGTTCAACTAGCGAGTTCAACTGAGTAGTTGTTTTAGTATATTATAAGGGTGGTTAGATTGAGCACGTATGTAGTTTAAAGTATTATTAGGTTTGCAGTATGGTTGGTATGAGTGGTCGCAGAGGTTAAGAGTTATGTCGAGGTAATTCACAATTTTGGGGTTGCACTGTATAGATATTTTGAGATTGTTACATTTGAATAAGTGAGTGATATGCTTTTTAATTTTCTCCATTTGCTGACCAGTAGCAGTTTTAAAAACTGCTAATTCGTCATCGCTGTATAAGCCAAAGTCATATTTACTATAAAAATGTGAAATTTGAAAAATAATGAATATCCCAACAAAATCACATATCTCCGCACCATCAAACGCACCAATGTAAACGTCAAACAAACCGCCTGACTTTTTCATCCAAACCTGACCATTATTAAGCAGTAAAGACTTCCTTGCATAAATAATAATTGACTTTTGTTCTATGCTTATAGTAGCATGTTTTTCCGCAAAACTGATAGAGTCGTTAAGGAGTTTTCCACTAATTAAAGGGTAGAAATCATTGATATCAAAGATGAGGTATTTATAAAGGTGTTTATCTTTTCTATTTTTAAACCAATTGATAACATCTTGAGTGCTTTTCCACTGATTAAAATGTAAAGTATTTTTCAATTCAGAGTTTAATTTTGAGAGAATGTCTTTACTAATTCTACCAATTTCATTTTTTGCCGGAAATATTAATCTAACTGTTGGATTATTTGTAAAATTAGTTTTATGGTCTTTAAACGTTATGAAGCAGTTAGAAGATGCATTAATGTAAATTTTGTTAAAAACAGCATGATTCTATAAATTTTTTTACGTTTGTTTATTTTATCTTTTATTTTTAAGTTAGGTAGTTTGTAAGTAGAAAAGATGGCGTTTGTCAAAAAGTGGCTATAACTGTCTTTTGATAATGTATACAAAATAGAAGTTTTATCAGCATATGTATAAGTTAATTTAGATTTACGGATGTTTGAAATATCGCTTTTTAGTCTACTTTGAAAACTGTTAGTTACTTTGCGGAACTTGATGTTTTGCAAATGGAGAAAATTAAAAAACATGTCACACACTTATTCAAATGTAACAGTCTCAAAATATCTATACAGTGCAACCTCAAAATTGTGAATTACCTCGACGTAACTCTTAACCTCTGCAACCAGTCATACCTACCAAACTGCAAACCTGATAATACTTTAAACTACATACATGCTCAATCTAACCACCCTCATAATATACGAAAACAACTACCGCAAAATGTTGAAATCAGATTGTCCGGAAATTCTTTCAGCGAACAGGTGTTTAAAAAATCTGTACCTATTTATAACGAAACTCAGGTTATAAACATAATTTATCTTACCGACCTAACTTGAAACAGCAACAAAAAAAAAACCGCACGCGTAAAATAATCTGGTACAACCCACCCTATAGCGTAAATGTCACCACAAATATAGGAAAAAGCTTTTTAAACTTGATTGTCAAACATTTTCCAATTAACAACAGACTACATAAAATTTTTAACAAAAACACAGTAAAAATCAGCTACAGTTGCACGCCAAACATAAAATCAATAATAAATTTACACAACAAGCGCATCCTAAACAAAAATCTAACCATTAATAAAGATAACTGCAACTGCCATAATAAAAACTATTGTCCTTTACACAATAACTGCTCATTCAACAACATTGTATACCAAGCAACTATCACTTCGTATAACCCTTCAATAAAAAAATCATACATTAATATTTGTGAAACATCTTTCAAACTAAGATATGCTAACCATTTGAAATCGTTTAATATCCCTAAGTATAGAAACGATAAAGAGCTGTCAAAGGAAGTTTGGAACTTAAAAGATAATGATAAAAATCCTGTGATCAATTGGAAAATAATTAGAAGATGTGAAGCATATAACCTGACAACAAAATCGTGCAAATTATGCCATAATAAAAAATATGAAATTATTTCAAATAGTGACAATAGTTTATTAAATAAAAAGACTGAAATTATATCAAAATGTCGGCATAGAAATAAATTCCTTCTTTGTCAATTCGACACAGGCTAAAGGTAGACTTCGTGTAGTCGATGTTTTGACGTCAGATCCCATTGCATTTCTTATTTTTTATTTTATTCGGTTTTTTATATTCTTAATTTAAAAAAACATATATGGCTGATGATTGCTGCCCGGCATGAAAATCTGAGTACCAACAAAAAGTGGTATTTGTTTCATTTTAATACTAAATAAGTATATTAGATCTATTATAAAAATCTTTATTATTATAGTATTGATCACTTTTAAATGAACAAGAGTTTTTTTGTACATTATTATACAAAAAAAATTATACAAAACATACAATATATATATATATATATATATATATATATATATATATATATATATATATATATATATATATATATATATACAAAAAACATTATACAAAATATACAATATATATATATATATATATATATATATATATATATATATATATATATATATATATATATATATATATATATATATATATATATATATACAAAAAAACATTATACAAAATATACAATATAAATATATATATATATATATATATATATATTTATATATATATATATATATATACAAAAAACATTATACAAAATATACAATATAAATATATATATATATATATATTTATATATATATATATATATATAAATATATATATATATATATATATATATATATATATATGTATATATATATATATATATATATATATATATATATATATATATATATATATATATATATATATATATATATATATATATATATATATATATATATATATATATTCAATCATTAATGGGCTATGCACGCAAGTCTCTTAATCAAGGCTTTTAGGGCAAAAGTACCCCTCAAAAGAGTTCTGTAGCGTTATAAGATGTTCTGAGACTTCATTTTGTATTTCTTTAATTAAATTTCTTTATGATTGAATTTAACTTTTCAACAACAGTTCTTGCAACTTAAAAAACTTTGCAGTAGCACCTACATTCACTCTTATTTTCCAAAGTGGCAGCTTACCTATAAAAGTCTTTTGTTTTTTAGTTGCATCCGCGATTGTTACTGCAGGACTGTGAAGAGACAAGTGGATTTCATTCAAATAAATAATGAACCCATTAAAATCAAAAAATTACAAACGGAACATTATTTACTATAATTCCCCATATAATAAAAAGGTTGCAACAAAAAAGGAATATCTTTTTTTAAATATAGTTGATGCAAGCTTTCCTGTAGGTTATTTATTACACAAGTTTTTCAACAGAAACATCATTAAAATTAGCTACTTGTGTATACCAAACGTTAAGTCAGTCATCAACTTGCATAAATAAAATATTTTACACAATCTTAAAAAAACAGCAACAAAATCCTTCAACTGCATTAATAAATCTACCTGCATTATGAGCAACTAGTGTCTAAGTAAAAATATTGTATATCAAGCTACTGATTTATCCAATAAACCAGTTTTTACAGTAAAAATTTAATTTGGTATTAGTTAGACCGGTTTTAAGTTAAAGTATGCAAGCCAATTAAATCAATTTAATTTAATTAAGGCACAAAAATGATACGGAACTATCTAAATTAATTTGGAAACTTATAGAAGAAAACTTTTCGTTTTTTACTTAAGTCGAAAACTATCAAGCGCTGCCAAAAATATAATCCTTCTTTCAAATATTGTAACTTTTGTCTTTATAAAATTTTTTATATTTTAGTGAATACACGGAAAAATCTATTGAACAAAAGGAAAAAATTGGATTCGAATTGATATCATAAAAATA